TTGACTCCCTCTGGAAAGAAAGGCAAAGGCCCAGACAGCCAGGTATCAGCAGCAACTTTTGGTTCCTAAGCCAGTGGCCTTGTGGCACAGCCCACCCTCCTGCAGAGGGCTCCTCCCACGGGGCACCCAGGTCCTCACCACACACCCTTTCTCCTGCAGAGGGCTCCTCCCACGGGGCACCCAGGTCCTCACCACACACACCCCTTCTCCTGTAGAGGGCTCCTCCCATGGGGCACCCAGGTCCCAAACACACGCCCTCCTCCTCCTGTAGAGGACTCCTCCCCAAGGGCCCCCCAGATCTTGACCACACCCTCTCCCTGGGGTCCCCAAGTTCTGAGCATGCAGGTCTGTGTGGAAACACACTCTGAAATCCTCACCCTTTGTGATTTCTTCTCAAGCATTTGAGAGTAGGTGCAGATGTGAGGCCCTTTGTCCCTTCGTACTTCAAGGGTCTTTCTTAGGAACACGAAATTTACTTACAAAGCCATGTGGATGTATTTGATGAATATATATATTCATACTTGATAAATACATTTATCAAAATCAGGAAATTTAGGGCNCACCTTATGCAAATTTGGCCAAATGTTCCAATAATGTCTTCTATTGCATTTTTTTTTTTTTCCTGGTCGACATTATAATCAAAGATCACCTGTCCCACTCACACGTCAGTCTCTTCAGTCTCCTCGAGTCTGGAACATTCCTCAACTTTCTTTGTCTTCCACATCCTTGGCATTTCAGAGAACTCAGAACAGCAGTTCTGTGGGTGCCCCTCGGTAGGTCTTGCCTGGTGTGTCCCCTGATTGCATCAGGTGCACTGGGCAGGAGCACTGCACAGCGACTGTGTCCCTCTCAGGGCCCCTGCAGGTGGCACAGGCCGCCACCCCCCCCCCCAGCACTGGAGATGCCACCTGGGACCCCTCGGCTAGGGTCGTGTGTGCCAGGCCTCTCCCTATAATGTCTCTCCTTCCTCCTGGCGGGTAATAACTAATCTGTGGGGAGATGCTCCAAGGCTTGTAAACACTCTGTTTCCCAGCAAACTAACACTCACTAACTCAGCATCCATCGGTGACCCTTGCCTGAATCAGTTATTACAGCAGTGGTTGCAAAATGGTGAAGTTCTGGTTCCTTAACTCCTTCTGATGAAGGAAGAGTCTCTCTCCCTTCCTCTCTCTCTCCAGTGTGGATGCATACATTTTTATTTTGTTCAGTAACTTATAATCTATGGCTGTCATGTTTTTCATTGGAATGCTCCAATTATTCTAAATTTGGCCATTGGGAGCCCCCTCTGATCTGGTTCTGTGTCCTGTCGATATGTCCCCATCATTTCTTATTTTTATTTTTTGAGCACTTTCTTACTTTCTGGAATAACAGGATGCTCCAGGCCCATCCTGTACCCCGCTGGCCCCAGCCCCAGAATCAGACATTTTCCTGAGGCTTCTGGTTCCATCTGGTGAGAAGCCTGGCTGTGGACATCCTCAGGATGGTTCCTCCTTTCTCAACCCTGCGGTGCTCAGACGCTGGTTTCAGAGTTCCTAGCCCACACCACTGTGCCCAGCAAACCCACAAAGGAGAAGTCGAGTGTGGTTTGTGTCCTCTTGTCTTTTGGTTGAGGAGTATGGTCAAGGCCCTGGGTTTGCCCGTTCTCGGTGAGGTTGGTTTCTCTCTTCCCTTTCCTGACATTATTCATTTGAAATAAATACAGTTAGATTCATTTGTTTCTGTATGGATTACATTTTAGGTTTTCTTTCTCTATTCTTGCTGGTTTATTTCTTGAGTACTTAAAACATTACTATGTTCCCAAAAGTCAAAAAGTACAAAAATGGGCACTCAGGCAGTCACCCCTCCCTGCCCCTACTCTCCGCTGCCAGCCTGCTGTGACTACCAGCCTTGCTGCTGTTTGGGGGTTATTCTTCCTGAGTGTCCCTTTGTGAAAGTTAGCAGATGTATGCACACACTTTTCAACACTTTATATTTTTTGGCATGCCCTCCCTTGGATGCTGCAGGCTCTGGCCCAGTGTCAGAACCCCCCACGGCAGAACATGGCTCATTCTCTTTTCTCCCTGCTGTGTCAGAATCCAGGGGACCTCTGAGGGGATAAAGTGCTTGAGAGCGAAGTGCCCTGGGTCCAGGACCCCCACACTCCCCTCTGGCTTTTGTTTCCCTCTGAACTGAGAGGGGCTTGGCTGTGAGCTCCAGCCTATGTTCTGGGGTTCCTGGGGT